CATATTTTCTATATCAATTAATCCTTGACCTACATCCAAATATTGAACTACTATTTTGCATACTAATCAGAGGGGAAAGCCTGTCTTCTGAAACCCCCCTTGCCTCATTCACATTTGAAAAGCTAGACCGCAGCAATTTAGTTGCAACAACTTGTCCAAGACAAGGTGCAACTTCAGTCTTCAGCTTTGTATTACAAAACATATAACCAGTCTTTCTAAATTCAGCAATTAGGTGTATGATATGTTTTAGGCAATAGCTATGTATCACTTCTGAATTTTCAACAAATTAGGGCATCTGCAGGCAAATCTAGGTAGATGAATGTCCTGGGTTTAGCAGCAGCAGTCATTTTTTCTCCTTCTTGGTAGCTGGTGCAGTGCTGTGTTTTGACTTTCGGGCTGGGAACAAAGCTGATAAAAATGATGTTTTGGTTTGGCCAATGACTTTGTGAGTCTCATGCTCTGCCAGGGAGGAGGGGAGGCCGGGAGGAAGCAGAGACAGGACACCTGACCCAAACTGACCAAAGAGGTATTCCATACCACAGCACGTCATGCCCAGGGGGGAACTGGGAGGTACCCGGAAGGAGAGGGGGTCGGCCGGGTCGGACTGGTGGTTCGGCGCGTGGTATTGTACTCCTTTCCTTTGCTATTTTCTCTTATCATTGTTGTCGTTGGTGGTAGCGGTGGTGATTCGTATTGTACATTAGTTGCTAGACTGTTCTTATCTCAGCCCGTGGGAGTTGCATTCCTTCGATTCTCCTCCCCACCCCTCTGGGAGCGGGGAAAGGGGGCGGCAACCCCTGGGGAAGGTGGGGGGGGCGGACTAACGTGGGCCTCGATTGCTTCCAGCCTGGCGCCACTCACTGGGAGTAAGTGAACAAGCTGTTTGGTTGGGTTAAACCACGACAATGAAGAAATCACTTCTAGGCATAATAGACTTGTATATTTTGTATACACCTCTCCTAGAAAACTACAGAGAAATTAACATCTCTTCCAAGTTCAATCCTGCAAGTGATCAACTCAATTGGAAAAAAATTGTTAAAGCTGAATGCACGCTGAGTCTCCAGCTGCCTGTAACACAAGATCCTAAAACTGTCTGCTGAGTGACCATATAAAAAGCTTTTAGTGAGATTAAGTCAGTGCATATAACATACATTAGTGACGCAAGAGGGTGGCACAGGGCCTCATTCCTTCAGTGTGAAAAGTCTTAAATAACATAGCTAACAATTATACACAGAAAAATGTTTTTGCTTTGTTTTAAAGCCAGGTCCACAGGAAAGTCTCTAGCAATTAATCCTTACTTCAGCATGATATATGTGTGTGACAGAAGGAAGGAGTAGGGAGGCAGTCAGCTTGCCTTGAAACAACTAAATAGCATAACCTCAGCTATACACTCTGCAGCTCTTCCCAGGAAAAGTAAGACTGCTTACAAAATTCCCTATGATCCAGCTCACATTACTGGGAGTACACACCTGGATCTCAACGTTTACTTGGTAGCTCATCAAGATCAACCCACCATATGCCAATGGTGACTTGTCCAGAAGGGTCATAATACTTCCAATTAACTTGACATTAAAAGCTGACAGTGCTTATTTCCCTTACAAGAACAGCTTACAGTTAGGAAATACAAATGTCTCTAATCACCCTGCAGTAGCACTAGCTTTCAATCACAATGGAAGCTTAATAATAGAAAGCCAACCCCAAAGTACACCCTTACTATGCAATCTTCTGTCCAGACTGCGTCAGATATGTGATTTTTATTCCTGTTTCTCAAGACCACTTTTGCTACTAATCAGTTTTACCACTCTTTTCTTCCTTTGCTTAATTAAACATATCAGAAAGTGTTAGAAGAACACTACTGGCAGATGGTTGTCATTTCTTGTAGCTGAAGTGATATATGTTTGAAAGGTACATATGTACATTCCACAGGATCAGACTAGCTTACTTCTGTTCAGAAGTAAGAACCATCAGGGCCTATTTCTATGTACAGAAGGCATTAAAGCAGACATCCATTGACTGGGGATGGGCAGGATAAAAAACTTCTCCTGTGCACATCAAGTTCTGCAATGACTGTCATTTTAAAATATCTTGTTAATCTGCTTGTGAAAAAGGCAGAAGATGCACACAAAGATTATATGCCTTGAGCCTGTATTGCACAAATACTTGCTTCAGGTTAGAGGGTATCTGTATCTTAACATTCGGGTATGTTTACCTGCCAAATGTCTGCTCTAGCAATTATACCCAAAAACTTATGCTCTCAGTGACAGACAGCAAACCTATTAGGTGTGAGTAGTCTTACTAAACCAGATTAAGAGATTACATGGATTGCTACTGTTCACAGCTTGGTCAACTACAGACAGGGGAAAAGTTAAAAGCTTTTACATAAGGAGAGGGTCGCAGGCTCAGTGGGACCAGCATAGAATCGACTGCACACCTCATGGAGAAGCAACCCTCACAGTTTAAATACATCACTTCATTGAAGTAGCTATCACATCCATCAGGATACACCACCCATTAAAAAATAAATATTGGAACTCAGTATAATTAAATTAAATGGGGATTATTGTCTAAGACAGACAACAACGTCATCAAAGACTTGTCTGTTAGTTATCTATGTTGCTTTCCCCACACTAGCATATGGCATGCTAAGAATGGCTTTGTAATAGCAAAGAGAAGCTCTTCTCCTGACCTCTGTTGTGAAGACATATGTACCTGAACTGTGTCTTGACTTCAAATTTTAATATAAATAAGAAAATAGGGATTCTACTCGTGTACAAAGACGTATGTTCGGTAGTCAAAATGATCCATTTTGCACTGTAGCAACCAGAATTCTGAATATACTAAAGGCTCAATGAAAAACTTTCATATCCCAGGAAAAACAGCCAACAGTAGCATGAACAACAAATTCTGAGCTGTACAACACAACACAAGCAGGTATTACTACATGGGCTTGCAGAGCGATAAAATTATCATAATGCAGAAGCAGACTATTTCTAAGAACACAAAACACAGACAGTTATTCCTAGACACAGTCTGTACCTCTGTTGCCACTTTCTGAACTGAAAAGTTTCAGAACATTAACATCTGCTTTCCCTGGTAACACCAGCAAATGTCTGAGAGCTGCGTACCACAGAAATCATCCAATACCAAACCTTGCACAAGTGGGTAACTACATCTTACATCCACCACAGCTTCCAAGCCATACAAGCCATAAGGTTTTTGCTGCATTATGCAGTAGCAGTCAAATCAGCCAAGAGCAACTGTTCTGCTGACAAGCAGGGTACCCAACAAAAACGACCATATACTAGCTATACAACATGCACAGTTTATTAAATAACCACACTAAAATAAGCACACTAATCCAAACCAGGTGTATATCTCTATATAGTAAATAAGTACTATAAAGCAAATCATATATACATATACACACATATATATATTAAAAAAAGAGTAAAGTATATGGGAAAATTAGCAGTGCATCAAATCACTGCTGCATAGAGAGAGCAGATGAAGAAGAAATACATCACCAGTTACCACAGAATCATCATCTAGGCTCACACTTCTAGCTGGGAAGCCCCATTGCAGCCAATGCCAGGAGTGCCAGGTAACCGGGAAAATTCCTGCAGAGTGTGTCCACCTGTAGGTGAGGCTTACAGATTTGGCTACATGAGGGTCCTGCTTTTATACACTTATAAACATCTGGCTCTGTGCCACATCTGTAATTGTTTGCTCATGGGGCCGTGCAGTTTCTCATGATCTCACTGTTGTCCACAGAGAGAGCATTGGCCAGGAGCCCCAGTGTGGCCAAGTATGAAGGTTATAGAACAGTTTCACACCCATGTTCTCCTGCCTCTTTCTTAAAAACAGTCATGATGAACATAAACATACATACCAAATACACTGTGACAAAAAAAAACATACTTCGTTATGTCTCCCAATCATGAGTGGGAATCAGCTGTCAGCTAGGTTCCCATCCATTCCATCAACTCTGATGCTTGGTTCCAGCAACCCAAAGGTAGACCAGAGCGCCACGTGAAACAAAGCAGGAAAACTACAAAGCTTATTAAAGACTTCCATTTGCCTTACTAGATCCAATTTTCAGCGCATACATATTGCACGGGCACACTGTGATCCACCTTTAACTTACACACCTCTCCTTGAAAAAAAAGTACCCGACACGAGCTTTGGATTCGGCTACTGATTAGCTACTTTCACCACCAGAAACACAATCCTGCTCTTTTGCAGCATCCTTTATCAGTAAAACAAAGCCGTATTCCTTTGCCACTGCTACGACAGTCCTTGAATTTCGCATATGGTCAGAGGAATTGGCGGCACTGCCGCAGGCTGGGGAGCGTTGGAGGCGGATGGGCAGAACTGCCGCGGGGTACAGCCGCGTTTCCAGCCGTGCCACCGGGACAGGGCAATGCTGGCCCTGACATCGAGGTCGGACGTGCTACTCGCCCGCTGACCACAGCGTTTCCCCACGTATAATACAACAACACTCGGTCAACTGTGAGACCCCTTTTAACAACACTGCTTTTCCCCCGTAAGTTTCCCGTCACGCCGGCATGGGCGGGAGGCCGAAATAGATTCCCAATGAATTTAGTGTCTGCTACGGGTCACTCTCCTCAGCGCTGTCGACCTTACCAGAACTCTGCCGTGCGGAGCCGCCAGGAGGGGGGACCCTACCCCTGCGCCCTGGCAGCCACCACAGCGGCGGCTCCTCACTCCCCACTCTCCCCGGGAGGGAAAGCGCTTCTCCCAGGGAGGAGCGGAGGGCGGAATGCGCTGACTGAAACGGGATGAAGGGAGGATAAAGTAAACTCCCAGGACGAGGCTGTGAGGGACGCGGCGGTCGTTTGAGGGCGGGGAAGAGGCGACGGCTGGGGAGGGGGTAACTGACGATCGGGAACAGGAGCCCCGGGAAAGCTGACCGGGAGAGTACGGGCAGCCGAGAGGAGAGACTCAGCAGGACAGGAGGCGACCGTGACCCCAGTACCCACCGAAGAGGCTGTTGCTGAAGCCGTCCCAGACGCAGCCGGCAGCGTCCCACACCCAGCGGCTCCTCAAGCAGGACATGAAGGTAAGGCTTACGCCGAAGACGGACACCAGCAGGTCGCTGAGGCTGATGTTGACGAGGAAGAGGTTGGTCGGCGTGCGAAGCCGCTTGAACTTGTAGTAGAGCACCAGCACCAGCAAGTTGTTGCACAAACCCAGCACGCCTATGGTGGCGACGAGCAGCGCCAGCAGTTCGTAAGTACTAGCGCTGAAGAGAGGCCGCTCGCCCGGCACCTCCTGCTCCGCTGCCGCGGGCTCCGGGCGGCTGGACGTGCCCGTGCTGTTCCCCGAGTGCATGGCTCGCAGCCCGGCCGCAGCGGAGGTAAGCCTCTGCGCCCGCTCCTAGCCCCATAGCAGAGCGCTGGTGAGGGCAAGAGGAGGAGCCCCATCCAGCTTCCCGCCCACTGAGGGCGCGCCCTAGAGTAGCTTCACCCTTGCTTTTTTGCGGGGGCGGGGGGGAAGCCTTATTGCCGCCACACGCAGGTGCCGCATGGCTCCTTTTCAACAAGTATCCCGCCTCACCCTGTGGCTTGCTGTGGTGAGCAGCCTTGTCATGGCTGGGATGTGGCTGTATCTTCATCTTCCCTAAAAAGTTCTCTGTGTGTTTTGGCTCGGCCCGGCTGCCTTCAGCCGAGGATCCTTCTAGGGAGACACGTTTGGGCAGATCTCTTTTGTGTCCCACTCCTGGAAGAGGTATAAACTGCTGAACCCATAATTAAACTTCTCCAGATATCCTGCTGATGAAAACTGCTATTATGGCAATAGTTCCTTCTGAGGTGCTTCCCCACAGTGCTCAGAGATGGCAACAGTTGTACCCTTAAAGCAAACACCAGCATCATGACCAGGCAAACTTATGGCACAAGTGAACACCTTTTTGTCAGCCATGGAGCAAGAAAGGTACCAAATTTGTGCTACTTGAGTCACCTAATTTTATGTTTGTCTCTGGTGTGTGTTGTGTGAAAATGGTACAGGAACGGGCCAGCTGCCTGTGTACAGCCCTAGCAGGTTTTAGTGAGGGTGTCGTACTGACCCCCAGATGTGCTAGGGTGGCTGTAGTGACTCCAAACCCAACTGATCTCTGAGCATATCACAGTGATTTTTGCTCAGCAAGGCCTAAAACACCTTGCCAAGTCAAACACCAGTTTTCTTCACAGGAAGACCTCCAGTTTGTTTGCTTTCCTAGCAGACCCACATGTGTGCTGGTGTGTTACAGCCTTCACAAAGGCCAAAAAAAAACCCTTTCAGTTTAGATCTATTCTTAGTTTAGAATTAGAAGGAAAAGCTTCTAATTCCTTCTTAGTATCTAGTTCCAAACAATTAATGTCAGCTGTGGAAGCAACAGAATTTTTGTGGAGATATATCTTGACAACCAATACTTCTGTTTCTTTTCCTCCCGTATACAGGTAGTGATATTAAAAGTGCTAGACTGAGGATGTGTTTGCTTGTGAACTGAGACTGAAAACACAGGTAGATGAGTTGGTCTGATATCTTTCAAAACACATATCTATATACAATTTCTCTCTTTATCTTCTGCTATCATACCTTTCAAGTCACAGGCTCTTTCCTGACAAGCAGATAGTGAGCAGAAAAGAAGCTTTACTCAATATATTTGTTTCAGGAATCAGCAGATGCTGGTGGCTTGCTGCCTGTTTTAACTTTGTAAAACTTATTATTTCACAGGGCATGGCTGCCAGGCTGCAGTCCCAGAAAAGAGAAAAGAAGGAAAGAAAAATTAAAAAAGGAAAACAAAACCAAAAAGAAGAAGCCTCCCAGAAAAACCCTGGCTTCAGCTTTTTGATTTGGATTTTTACATTTTTCTCCTGTCTTTTTTTTTTTTCTTACATGTTCTTTTTGCAATTCTTTAGTCTTAAAGGCAGATAAAAGCCAAGCAATTATTCACTCTATCTATATATAGCTGCAGTGAGTAGAGCAAGGAGAGTTTATGGACAAAAGAAACCTTTCATCTGTTCCCACCATTTGGCATTAAAAAAAGGCTTTTAATATAGATCTACATCTGTTGATAACGTAATATGTAAGAGAAAAAAAAATACACAAGCCTTTGAGATTAGATCTTGATCTTGCAGAATTTGTAATCCTAGCTATTTAATCCAGTCCACATTGGGACGTGATCTTTAAATCACAAAGCAGGCTAAGTGGAAAAGTTGCAAGACTGAGAATATTCTGGAATTAGGGAAGTGTTTGGTTCACTGAAGCACAAATGTTTGCTGCAGGAAGGGGACCCAAGTAGGCCACCCTGGGAGGTGATGAGATGCTGTAAGAACACCTGTGCTGGAGTTGGAAGTTGGCTGCAGCATGTAGCATGGCATCTAAGTTCTAGTATACCTGCCATGTGTACACGCTGGCTGCCCAGAGAAGCTGTGGCTGCCCCATCGCTGGCAGCATCCAAGGTCAGGTTATATGGGGCTTTGAGCAGCTCAGTCTAGTGGAAGGTGTCTCTGCCCATAGCAGTGGGAATAAAACTATGTGATTTTTAAGGTCCCTTCTAACCCAAACCATTCTATGGTTATATGATTCTATGAACTAAGGCCATTTCAGATCTACTGTGTTTTCTTTGGGCTATTCTGAACCATCATTTTACCTGGGGAGTATTTGTCACTGAATAGAAGAAGTAGAGGAAGGAAAGATCTATCACCTTTTGCTTGTTTGTCTTCTGCAGTAGCTTTGGGTTATTTGTTGTGAGTTGCCAAATAGCATGGTCAAAATTTTGAAATTTGCATAGAATTTCATTATAGTTCTTGAGATAAAGACTGGAAATAATTGATTTTTTTACTGGCCTGAGAATTTCCAATAATTGAGGCTAATATAATTACACACTGAGAGGAGGAGAGTTGGGCGGTTTGACTTCTGAATAAACATTATCTCTGCCTTATTCCATATCCAATGCCTTCCACAATCTCAGTAAGGGAGACAGGAAAAAAAATGCTTTTCATTGAGTTAGTGCTATTGTAGACTTACTAATGCAAGGACTTCCTGTTACTCATCAATTTAATACTGAATTTCCCTTTCAGGCTTCGCTTATCTTCTAATGCAGTTCCCACCTTCTCCACTTTCGTATGTCAGTCCACTCAGTCATCACATCTTATTTTAAAATTGTGCTGTTAGTTTAAACATCAAAAACAACAGAATCAGCTGGTACTGAAAGCAATTCTTCCTTATTTGGGGTTTCTGTGTATTTTTATTATGCTATATAACAAAGTTTCTTCGTGGGTGGTCGCAAGGTAACATAGGTTTCTGTTCTTTTCCACTCTGAGGATGAACATTAATACCTTTTGTAATCCTTAAACCACTGTAATAACAGTTGGGAAATGAGACATATAGCCTGATGTTGTACAAGCTTAGGTGATACCAACTGAAAAATTAACCAACAGGAGACTCTGCAGAACAAGGGTTCAGCTGGAAGCAGTGTATCAAAGACACCAGGACTCTGACCATGATACAGTATCTGACCAACCACTGAGTACCTTGGCACACAAGGGAAACTTTGTCTTGGAGAATTACTGTTGGAACTAGCAAAAATGCATCCTCAACCTATCCCTTTCCCTTTTCCTTTTCAAGCTATCCTCCCTTTTCCAAGCTATCCCTCCCTTTTCAATGCTGCTTTTTTGTATTTAACTCAAGCAGTTTGCTTTTGTTGGGTGGCGTATCTTGAAACACCACATCCCCTGAAGAACTAGCTATTTCATGCAGAGACAACGCATGCACTATTTTTAGTAACTTTGCTTAATACCAAATATTTCGAAGATGATCAGCTGATTTTCCCAAGTGGGTGTAAAGACTATGGTCTTTATCTGTTGTGGGGTTGTTTGTTTGTTTTTTTTTTGTTTGGTTGGTTGGTTTTTGGTTTTTTTCTTTTAAGAAGAAGAAGTGGCTTTTATATTCTTGAAACATGCCTGATTGACGTCAATCATTTAAAATGCCAAAAAGATGATGCCTCCTTTCTTTTCAACTAGTAATCTCCACAGAGCAGGGAACCAGTGCACAGCAATTCAAGAAAGGCTTGACCAATAAGCCTGTCATCAGCCTTGGGTGAAGTAATAGAAAAGCTGATCTAGAGATAAATAGGTAAAGAACAATACAAAGAAATTGATAAAATGGTCTCATGAAAAGTGAGCTTAACAAACAGACTGCAATTTGACCGTTATTTAACCATTATTATTATCAGTTTATTATGATACAGCACAGCAACCTGGCATCTGTATTCTTTAAAGATACTGAAAAGCTGAAAAAAAAGTCTAAAAGAATCACAAGCATTACTTTGAGGCCTGCAGGAAGGTATTAAAGGAGGAGGCAGAGAGTTCAAGGTGATTTAATTAACAAGAGAAAAGAAAAAAGGGAGAAGTTATTCAGGTACAAAGGCCTCTAGCAGGAGAATATACTAATGATTACTGACAGGAAGCTGAAGCTAAGCAAATTCACACAGGAGGCTTAAATTTTAGCAATGTGAGCAATTAACCTTTGGAGCAAATATCATGGACTCTCCATCTCTGAGCATCTGCAGATTAAAACTTCATATCTTTCTGCAAGTTATGCTTTAGAACAAAGTTGTTTGGCTTGTTATAGTGATAAATGGCTGATATTTAATGATCTGTAACATGGACAAGTTGAAAGTAGAAGATATCAAGGTCTTTTCTGGATTTAAACCTTATGAATGTATGATGCCTCAATTAAATTTAGGAACAAGGACAGTAGGGCCAAAGGGGATATTTTGGCCTGGTTGTTCTAGTCAGATTTTCTCATCCCAAACTTAATCATATGCTTAATAAAGCACTACTGACTGCACTGATATAAAAATGGAAATAATCCAGGATTATGTAAATTACCTTGGTGAGAGCAATAAAAAGGGGGACAAGTTTTTTTTTGTGATTTCTTCATGAGCTCCATCTTTTTGTAATTGCAGGAGATACCAGCGTCTACTCATTATCACCGATGTGCTTCTCAGAAGTACTTCAGAGTTTTGTTGATCACAGAAATTTGGGATTGTGTAATGAATATGAATTAATGACTTCACTAACCGGTAGATCAGTGAACAAATGTAGATACATTTCACTGCTAATATCATGAACAATTTTATTCATTTTCAATTACAGTTCAGTTATACTTATGTCAATAATATTCATGTAATGCACAGGAAATGTGAGAATAGCATGATAAACAGAAAGATGCCAGAATTTAATGTCAGCATAGTGCAGTGATACAAAAGGAACTCCTGATATGGCACACATAAAATGTGACATTAACTTATAAGGATTAGTAATACTACAAAGGAATTAATTCCAGGTTGGGATGTTGCTCCTGTGTTACACGTAGTTTTTAGCAACCTGATAAGTTTACCAAGAAAGAAGAAATGGCAGAGACAAGACAAGAGCGGTTCTGACTTCACAGTAGAATACACTGCCTCAGATGGCAGTGTCAAGAAATGGCAAGCCTTTACAATTTGCAAAATGTTATAAGAACAAAGGATAAGATTCAGTAAAGGGTTCAGAACAAAAAGTTGATCATCTGAGGTGTAGAATCCAGAACCCTGATCAAGATAATTAGCTTCCATATGCAGAGAATCTGTGATTATAACATGATCCAAAGTAATTAACATACTAATTACCAATAGCTAAAGCCTTTTTTAAAAACCCTGTGAGAGTTTAGTCAGTAGAAGACTGCTGATGATCACAGGTGCAAACCACAGAACTTCTTTTTCAAGCACCTGTTTTTTCAGGAAAACGCTTCCTTCTTAAAAGTCACTGCACTGAACTATTCTTTGAAGAAAGCTTTTTATATCATTCCTTTCCAAAGAATGAATGAAGCTTAATTCTTTAGAATACTCTTACAAGAACTAGTATTGCTGTTTCTTCAGTAGTCACTGGGTTACTCATTCGGAGGATAGTTTTGGATTTAATTTTCTTTTCTTTCAGCTTTTCTTCCTTTTTCTTTATTTTCAGAGGAAAAAACAACCCACTTTTCCACCACTCCAGTGGGATACCTTAGGTTTCCAGTATTCAGTGAAAAAATTAAGATGCTGTGGTATAGGAAGGTAACAGATATAACACAGGAACTGGTGCTTTTTTAGGACAAAAATAACGTTTGATCTTAAGACATTGGGTGGACTATCAAACAATTTTGATTAGTTAGTGAGTGCTCTGGGCTGCCACTTTCAAAAAAAAAGTGGTAGCTGCAATTTTGCTTTCTGAATAGCCCCATCCTGCTTTTGTTTAAGTATACACCAAGAACAAAAACCAGAATGGTACTTTGATACAGTATTCTGATCTTATGATCCTGACTGAATTTAGGTGCAAGTTAAATGCAGACCCTTTTCAAAACAGTAACCATGTAAGACATACAGCTGAGCTTTGGATTGGCACATGTTAAGAGCTAACACTCAATTTCTGGGCTCATTACTTGTTTGTCAGGAGAAAAAAAGTAAATAGTAACTTGACTGTAAATTATGTAAAAAAAAAAAGTAAAGGAATTTGACTGGCTGTAAGAGTTCAAGGGGGAGGGAATTGGACAGCTGAAAATAACTAAAGCTCTACCACTCCATAGCTGGATTTTTTGCTATCTCAATTATAATGATTTATACAACTGAAAACGTTTCTGTAGGGTAATTTTTTTTCTAGGTTGGAAGTTCTTGTTCATTGAGTAGGAATTTGAAATACAGTTGAGGTCAAGAAGGCATATATTCAAGAAATTGAGATTGACTAAGGAAGCAAACCTTAAGTGCTACTTCTAAGAACTGTCAAAAAGTGCTTTTCTTGTTCTTTTTTGTTCTAATTGGATGTCTTTGGCCTCTTTGTACTATACGAATACTGATTCATAACTTGATATCCCTCGTAATATGCTGTTATTGCTACTATAAAACCAGACATCCTCGCCTAGATCAAGTTCCCTGGTTGAGCCTTGCAGCAGTAGTGCATACTAGAATATCATAAGGCTGGTCTGAGTCTCCTGTCACAGAGCATATCTAAACAGAGAATTGGCTCTGTCATTCTTCACCAGATGAATTGTGGATCCAAGGGAATACGCAGTTGCACTTATTCCTAACTGCGTTAGTTGATGCACAGCTTTTGGCAGAAAACTTGAAAATAATCTAAAGCATAAAAAAACAATATGAAACTTAGAGGTAACTGGTATAATTGTCCTTTCCCCTCACTGTGTACAAAAGCCTGAAAGATAAGATAAAGTTGCTTTGTTACTGGAGAACGTGCTCTCATGTTGCTGATGGGGTGCCTGGTACAGCAGAATTGAACCCTGATGATGCCTGTCTCTGAAAGTGAGAAAGTTCATGTCTGTTTAACCACCAGTTGCATGAGATGCCATGATATAATCTCACTTGACAGGTTATTAGTGATCCTTGTTCGTAACCTAGGGCCAGTAGAATTATGTGATGTAATAGTGGTTCATACTATGTTTGCCACCTTAAGGTGCCAGCTTGAGTCACCTCTTTAATACGCTTGGTACACCTGTCATGCAGTTGCTTCTTATATGAACTCATGTGGGAGTTTAAGGAGTGGAAAATGGCTTGGACCAGGCTGTAAGAAGTTCTCTTCTTATCATCTTCTGTCTACCTCATTTTCTGTTAATGAAGGATGCCTGAGAAAGATTGTGATAAGGAGAGTTGTTCTGCTTCTGAATTGCTGGATTTCAAGAATGCTGTGAACAAGTTTCAGAAACTAGTTGAAAAACTAGTAACCCAGAAGACAAAGGACAAATTAGGCTTGCATATTAAAGATGATGGTAAGAGATATTTTCTTCCGATAGAAAAGTGTTATTTTCATATGGAGAGAAGGTATGAGGCAACACTATAAGAAAGACCTCTAATGTTCTAACTGTGACTTACTGATTTTTGCAAGAAACAGGCATATCGCACTATGAGTATGCTTTTCTCCTTCTGTTAGGATTCAGGTCAAATTATAATGCTATGGATATTGTTCACAAAATACAGTTGTTGGTGCTGCCACGTATACAAGTTAGCATGATGCAATGTTTCTACTGATCTGTAAAAACAAACCCAGTGAATTATGTAAATGCAGTTGCTTAATTATAACTAATGAAGGCAAAGGTTTGCTTTACTCAATGCAAGTGCCTATTGTTGCATGAAAGGATAAACTTTATGCCAGACACCATTTAGGTTCAGAACAACATACCAGAATCATGGTGTGAAAGTAAGGGGAGAAAGCAGAGGTAAGAATTTGTCCCCTGTTCTTTTATCTGTTTCCTGTCATGCATTGCAAATCAGGTAGTTTTTGAAAGACTGAACATAAAGACTGAACTTTCTTGTTGTTTTGCAAAATACCTCACTGAATGCAGTATGACGAGCTAGAACTGACATGCTGTTGATATTGAAAGAGAAATAAACCAGTAGGTAGGGAGGATAAGGAAGCTGTAGCTTGACAGGTTCTAACTCTCTGGATATTGTTCTTCCCATGCAGATGAGATAGATTATGAAAAGTTCTATGCAGCCACACAGGCACTTTTTGGTGCAGAAGTGAAGGATTATAATGTTAAGACCTTTTTCTGGAAGCTCAGCAGCAACCCTGGTGTAAGGATAGAATGGTGTGAGGTAAGGATTTCTAAAACTTTATTAAATATAAACAACCAATTAGAATCTTAAAAGGTAACAGTACTTAACTGTTAATTATGTGTTGTTCATGAGTCTGTTGTTCAAGTGTTCTATGGCATAATGGGGTACTCTCATGTTGTTATTTATTCCAGTCACCATTTCCCCCCAAAAAACCCAATATTATTTGGAAAACAGATATGCCTTTGAAACTCAAAAATTAGATTAAGTGTATTGTTTTGGTTGATCTAAACAAAAACTACATTGAAGAAGTAGCTTGGAGTAGCTTATTTGTCGCTGTTATCCTATTCAAGAAATTATGTTTAATTTTAACAAGTGTCAGTGAAAGATAAGGTATGGAAGACCTTTGCTGAGCCCTGCCTTTCCCCCTTTTTACATGGGTAAACAGGTGAGTAATTTGAAATTACAGCATTGTCTCTACAAGTTTTTGCTAAGCCACTCACTGTACTGGATTTTCTGCTGAAGATCTCTGTCTAATTTCAGACTTCTAAATAGATCATGCAAACCAGCTTAACGCATGGCAGAATCCGTGCTGCTAATTGTAGTAGGTTCTTAAGAGCAAGATTTGCCCATACTGTGCTTGTTACAAAAGCAGTCCAGTAATTTCAGCAAGCAGGACTTTTAATCCAAATCTTTTATAATCATAATTATTCCATTCTTTCAAACCCTGAGAGGTATCTATCCTTATTAAAGGCAAGTCATTGGAGATCTGATAAGAAAGGTTAATTAGAATGAATTAAAGGAAGCATGCTTAAGTTAAATTTTTATTTGTAGGTGAACTACTTTTCTTTTCTGCTCCTATCTGTTTGGTAGCTGAACTTGCAAATCAAATACTTTATTAAACATTAATTAATGCTCCACTGGTTTACATGAGTTGAAGAAGTTGGTCTCTGGTCTCTCTGAACCAAGATCCTTGAGCCTATTATGTAGGTGGACATGAATAAATGTTAAAGGATGATCTAACTAAATAGAAATATTTTTCCTGTTTATTTTGTAAAAGAGCCCTGAGCTGTCTACCAGAACTGCTTGTACTCACTCAGTTTGATATACTGGGTTCCTGACAAGAAAGCAGGATCTGAAACATGGAGCCTGCGTATGTCCAGGTCTTCTCCTGAACTACTTCAGTGATATGCTTTGGCCGCAGGCTTATTGACAAAATATGAAATCTGTTATGACTACAGCATGAAACTTACGCTCTCAGGATAAGTCCTATCTATAGCTAAACTTTCTTTCCTCTCTTTTCTCTCTCTGCTTCCTCTCCTTCCTCTTCCCCTTTTCACAGGGATAAATCTGGGCTTTGCTTTAAATGTGAAGTATCAGAGTTATGGCAGCATTTTAGCAGAGAGTTTTTTTAACCAGAGAATTCAGTAGGTATTATTTGAGCATGTAGATGGGTGAGATCCATTTAATCAAATTTTCTGTCTCTAATGGTGGTAAATAGCAAATTTGTGTAAAAAATGTGTAAGAACGAGGTAACTATGAGATAGTAGTCCTGGCTCACCCCTCCTTGCTTCTGGCTGCACGTAGCTTAAGGATTTTCTGTGCCAAAGTTGCAACTGCACTCTGTGTTTAGTAACCCTTGATGGATTTTTAATCTATCCATTTGTACATTACTCTCAACTCACCTAAAAAGGATACTTTCATAGCATCCACAGTTTTAAACATTTTGTGAAAAAGTCTTGTTTCTTTTAAACATGTTGCTCCTTTTTTTGCACATTGTGAGAAATTAAACACTTGTTCTAGAAAAGTATCTTCTATCAAGTTATTTCCCATGGATAGTGTTTCAAGCAACTGCTCTATAAAAATGACTGATTTTTATGTTGTTAGAGCCAATTTGTAACAAGAGCATCTATATCATGTGTTACTAAAAGATTCTGTCTTTATTTTTCACCTAAAAACAGAATTGTGTATATGGGATATAACTCCCAGTATACAGTACCTTCCTATGATAGCATAGGTGGCATTTACATACATGGCAAGTCCTTGCTGGAATTTAATCCATAAGGCAAGGTATTAACAAGTGGCACGAACCATAAATGCATCAGCAGATTTCCATTTATGTTATGCTGGAACATCACATTATTATTTGAACCTTAAAGATGCCCAACATCTGTTCTTTACATATTGTCAGCAATTCCTATAATTGCTTAATAACATCCTAAAACTAGTGTGTTCAATCTTTTCAATTTAATATGGTTTTGTATGGGGATATTTCTGATTAATACCTCCCTTATCATTGCTTTTAATTATAATAGCACACTACTCACAAACTTTGCTCATGTCAGGCATTAAAGATTTTCTTCAATGAAGGCCTGGGGAAAATCTTTGAAAGTTAGCTGTAGAAGATATTAAACATCACATAACTGCCTTCTAAAGAATTTACCAATAAGCACTCTTTAACAGATAGAATTTAAGGCCAAATCCAGTTCCTCTGTTATGAAATTCACTTTGTGAGAGCTAAATTTGAATTCTTTTATCTTTGCACGTCTCCAACTCATATGTTACCCCTTCTTCCTTCCTCTTTCAACATGACAGGTAACTTAAAGGTGAAGTCCTGGATCTGCTCAGGATTTCTTTGAAACTGTGTAAAAATAGGGGAGAGGGAAGACATCTCTGGATTTGCTGGTACATGATGTACATACTAAGTTCCTGAAATGACCACCTGCCAACAGACATGCTGAAGAACTGCACAAGTGCAGCAGTAGTCAAATTCATGTACTATTCAAAATTATCTACCTCATTTCAAACTTCTTACTACTCTTTGTCTGGGATTAGAGAGAGGTGACATGGTCTGTTGTGTAGATGTGGCAAGCTAGACACGTATCCTATATATCATAAGATCTGCTCATGGGTATGAAGCAAAGACTGGTAGAGAATAGTACTTCTGTATTTATGGTGACTGCCAGACTGATGGTCCTTTGTTTAGGGAAGCAGAAGAGTAGCAAATAATGTTCCTGCTCATTAGTTTATAAGAGATCTCAAGGAAGCTCAGTTTGTTTACTGGAATGAGCATCTTTGACTCCAAAACCTTACTTGAGGTTTCCAATGCAATCAGACTTGTTACCTGGGTTACATAATTACACAAGCAAGCACAGTATGCTGTCTAAGGAAAGTGAAGCCCCTTTAGTTTCCTTATGAAATGTGTGTGCGATTTGCTTGGGATAAAATTCCCCAGAAACTGTTTTTGTGATCATTCCTCAGATTTTACCAACTGTGAGCTGACTGACGACAGCCTTTTGAAATACCCTTTTCTCTTTCCTGAGGAAAGAGGAGTGTGGCATTCAATGAATCTTCAGCATCTCACAGGATGCATTTAGTTAGATGGATATCAGTGAGCTTATAATAAGTGCTGTAAGGAGTGAAATAAAAATATTTGTTATTTCTCTGTTCAAAAGAATCCTGATTAAAGTATTCATGTTGGAGTTTTTTATTTATTTTCTCCTATAGGGAGAAATATTTAGTATCATGTAAATGGAAATTCATTCATGATGGAGGTGATAATTCAGTTATGAAATAGACAAAGATCAGACTATTTAATCAGCTTCAATCTGACATGGATTTCTTTACTTTGAAACAGCATTATCCATAAGTTTGAAATAAAATACTGCATGGAAAAGCTGCAGTAAGTCTTTTGGGTTTTTTGTTTTCTTTCCATTTAGAGGGAAATATGACTGTGATAAGTATTACAAGCTATCTAAACATTGTGGAACATAAAGCTAAGCTCCTTTCAGGTCAAAATGTTAAGATTTGTTTTATGGGTAGTGTGGGTATAGAGAGTCAGGGTATTGAGAAAGAGTTGAAAACTGAAGTAAGAAAACCGCTGACTCCTGGAATTTTCTAGATTTAGCTTACACTGAAACAGAATAATCATTGCATTGATCAACTGATTGTTGTCTAAGCCTAATTTGCATCACCCATAACTTCAATGTCAGCTTTTGATCTACTGCAATTGTGGTAATATCCTATCTGTAATGATTGCATCAAAACCAGGTTATTTACAGGCTTATTTGAATGAGTTCAAATAAAATAAAGTAGGGTTGGTTTGTATTCTATATATTATGTGGTGGTGGTCTTTTTAAATTTTGTTTCTTGAGAAACTGTACGTTTTCAAAATGGTTCAGGTAATCCTGGGTGGTACTGGAGTCAGGAATGAAGCCATGTATCATTGGAAAGCTACTTTTCTGTAACATCCTAAATAGCCATCATGGTTTCAGCTGTTTGTGCTCCAGTTTTCTAATGTGATTTTTTTTTTCTAAAAAAGGACTGTATTTCATCCCTGTTCTGCTGAGTTCCCCTGCTGCTTTTAGCACTGCTGAGCATGCCCTTGGTCTCAAAAGTTAAAGAAGAGGGATCCACGTCACTGTGCTCCTTTGATATTTCTCTTACCATCTCTGTCTCTCTTTCCTCCCACCCCTCTTTCCCAGAACTCTATCCCTGACCCTTTGTTCCTCTCATACAGCTCTCACAGATCTTATTTTCTTTCAAATTTACCTCTTCATATCTGGCCTCTTTTTAGCTTGACAGAATCTTCCAAATATATTTCCATGACCTAAAGGATCACAGTCTTGTGTAAGTGTTCTTATTTCTTCCTGACATTTCTCTTTTTCAAGTACCTCCATGTTCAAGGGTTTCCTAATTTCCCAGCAGTCTCCACAACAGTATACCCATACTCAAAGGCCACTATTTTATTCAAAAAAAAAAACCAAACCAAAACAATAAACAACCCAACATTAAAGGAATTTAAAACCTTCTCTTTAATTTAACCTTTGTTAAATTAGGATCTATCCTTAGTCATATACTGGACAGTCTAGCAGCTATCATTTATCAATGACTTGGGAAATCGGCTTCTGCATCTCTTTCCTAAATGTAGTTGGCACTTTGAAATCTCTGTTTTTCTAATGCCAAACATCTGAGAGACATAAAATGCTTTTTGCTTCATTTTTATGCTCTTTGTCAACCTCTGGTAGACATTATGGTGTGGAGCTTGTTGGTATCCCCTGTCTCCATGCTGGAGTCAGAAGAAGACATTTATACACACCTGAAAGGGATTTCCAAGATGCCTTTCCTTTGGCAGTGTTCTGCCTGCTGAGCAGAAGTATATAAGAAGCATGACAGGGCACACCTAAGTGTCTCACTGATCTCACTGAGAACTTCCATCTTTGTTGGCTTTAGGGCAGCTACTGGCCTAGCCCAACCACTGCATCTGGCATCTTGTCAGGATTTGGGAGTGACCTGATGCTCGGTCAGTCTGTCATTAAAAAAAAAAGTCACAAGGTTGTGGCGTTTCACGACACGGACTCAAGTTGATGAGGAGATTCAAATCCAACTTTATTACAACCAAGCCCATTTTTATCCTCTTGTTCGGTACTTTCCCAACCTGCACAAGCATGCCACGTTCAATCTCCAGGCAAAATAGTCCAATCACAGTGCTGCAGACCGTCTCACAACCAGCACATCTTCAACTGAGACTCATACCACAACTACATCCTGGCCCATCCCCCCCCAGGTTTGTTTTTCAACCTTATCTGTCCTTCAGTGCCCCAGCTCATTGCCCCAGGGCTTGTCAAGCACCGAGGCCTTAGAGCTCATTCCCAAACTGTTCTTCTGAAAATCTTATTGCCTTCACTCCCCACACAAGGTGATATTACAGGAAACTAGAAAGAGTGATGTAAGGGGCTGTAATAGACAGATAATGTATTGACTGATGATGTATGGCAGAAAATAGTGTGCGTGGTAAGGAGGGAGCTGGGAAGTGAAAGATGAAGAGTAATGTTGTGTAAGAATATTTTTCTTTTTCAAAAGATGTACACCTGAATCTTTCAAAGAAGAAAAATGTGAGTTCTCTTGTATAACATGAAAAATACTGAGCTAGAAAACAGTGCAAAGTTTTGTCTAGCATCCAAAGGGGCATTGTTTTTAGAACTCATGAAAGTCTATATATATAATGCCCATTATAAATACTGAGAAATGAGGTTAAAAAATCTGTAGTGCAGTGTGGCTGAACTTGTTTCCTGAGAAAATGTACATGGGTATAGAGCTTGAGGTTTGAAGAACTGAAATGCTGAAGTATTATCACACCCTGGAACAGAAATGAGCTACTTACCTGGATATTCTGTGTAGGGGATCTCTGTCATGATCAGTAAAAATGCAACATTGCCTGGCTTAGGGTTAGCTGAAAAATAATTTAAAAAAATGGGCAAAAGGGGATTACTTTTTCTGTATGGAAAAGACATTCTGTGTAGGCTAAACCACTATTTTGCTTTGAATATCTGTTTATAGAGACGTCTATTTTGTTTGCCTTTTACTGATTTTTCTTCCAGCTGAGGTCTGGCTGAGGAAGTACAAGTAGCTTAACCGGAAAAGGGAAACTGGAGATGATAATTTACAAACAGTCGTTAGGAGGCAAAGCTGTGCAAACAGCTTCATCAGTTAGATGGCTTTTATTTCTGGAAGCCCTGTGTGTGCTGGCTTCTTTCCAAACATTCAAGAAACATTGTGATCTTAGTAGCAGATCTCAGAAATCTAAAATTATATTGACAGCTAAGGTTAAGGTAAATAACAGTAGGAAAATTACTGAAAGAATATTAAATGAGGAAAATGTCAGATAAATATTTGACTTTACACATGTAAACAAATATTCCAGAAGTAGTTTTATCATAAATTGCCTGGTTTGTCCTGTTTAGATTTTTGGCTGTTTCTTAGGAGAAAGTGATGGCATGTCTTCACAGCTGAAAGAAGAAAACATGCTTTTTCTTCTATCCAAAAACCAGCAGATTATTCATACAGGTAATATACTTCATTTTGTATCAAAACCTAATATTTTTTAATGCTGTGTTGCACATTTTAGTGGAAGTACAGAGATAAGATTGTATTTCTGTCTTTGCTTATTATTCATGATTCTTTTTCTTCTTATGTAGTCCAGAATATGGTTTTTTTTACTAAACTTACTGCATCTGAACATTCCACTGCTGCCTTGACCAATTGTGCATTTTCCCAGATTTTTCTGAAATTATTAATGGTCTGACTCTGAGCATTTATTTATGCAGTTAGTTATTTCTTTCTCTGCATTTCTGTAATTTTCAAATAATATAAAAACACCTAGCACATCCATAATGCATTAATGATATTTGAAGGTGAAACATGATTATTTAAATCAAGTATAGGATAATGTATAATGTAATGCACTACTGTCATGGAGTTGGTACCAATATGCGTTTCAAGAAGAGAAAATGTCCTTGATATTATGGTTTAATTTGTTTAGATTTTCTGTGTCTGGAAGATGAAGAGTAATATTTTGTCATTGACAGTTGTGAAGAGAGATGATGCGATTAAGGGTATAGTGAAAGTGCCCCATCTGGATTTCATAGTAACATCCTCTCAGAAAGGAGTGCTGACTGTTTTTAACAAGCAGGTAATTCTGACTCAAGCAAACTTTTAATTTTTCCATTAGGCAGCATAGATGGGAACTGGGTGATCTGTGATCCAGGATGCAAACTTACCCATTAAAAAAAAATTTAAAAAGCTAGGTATCTTTTTTAATTAAAGTTAACTTTTTCTATCTTTTTTAAATACAGTATCACAGTATGTTAGAGATTGGAAGGGACCTCAAAAGATCATCTAGTCCAATCCCCCTGCCGGAGCAGGAACACCTAGATAAGGTTACACAGGAACGTGTCCAGGCGGGTTTTGAATGTCTCCAGAGAAGGAGATTCCACAACCTCCCTGGGCAGCCTGTTCCAGTGTTCCGTCACCCTCACTGAGAAGAAGTTTCTTCTCAGGTTTAAGTGGAACCTCTTGTGCTCCAATTTGTACCCATTACCCCTTGTCCTTTCATTGTTTGCCACTGAGAAGAGCCTGGCTCCATCCTCGTGACACTCCCCCTTTATATATTTATATACACTAATAAGGTCACCCCTCAATCTCCTCTTCTCCAAACTATAGAGACCCAGCTCCCTCAGTCTTTCCTCATAAGGGAGATGCTCCACTCCCTTAATCATCTTAGTTGCCCTGCGCTGGACTCTCTCCAGCAGGTCCCTGTCCTTTTTAAACTGAGGGGCCCAGAACTGGACACAATATTCCAGATGAGGTCTCACCAGGGCAGAGTAGAGGGGAAGGAGGACCTCTCTCGACCTACTAACCACCCCCCTTCTAATACACCCCAGGATGCCATTGGCCTTCTTGGCCACAAGGGCACAGTGTCGGCTCATGGTCACCCTGTCGTCCACCAGGACCCCCAGGTCCCTCTCCCCTACACTGCTCTCTAACAGGTCGTTCCCCAATCTATACTGGAACCTGGGGTTGTTCCTGCCCAGATGCAGGACTCTACACTTTCCCTTGTTATATTTCATCAAGTTATTCCCCGCCCAACTCTCCAGCCTGTCCAGGTCTCTCTGGATGGCAGCACAGCCTTCTGGCGTGTCGGCCACCCCTCCCAGCTTAGTCAAGGTAGACAACATCCACCGCTCTACCATCATCCATCCACCGTAGGAAATATACACTGTGATTTTCAATTATAAACCTACTGAACAGTCCATAAAAGTTGATAGAAAGTAGATGGCTAATAAAAAAACATTATTATCAGAAGATAGTTTAATAGAAATATTATTTATTATTAGAAATATTATGTATTTCTTTTTAGAAAAAGTTTTCCTTAATACAAAACATGCTACTGGAATTAACTTTTGCATATCTAATGGAAACCAGGGAATTAACTATTTTCTACAGCTAGACAAAATATCTAGAATGGGCAGAAATCATTATCAGTTGTTTGCAAAGAACAGTTACTCAATATAGCAACATCTAGAAACCTGAAAGTCTTGAATTTTCTGACAGTCTACATGATACTGCTTTGCAGTTACTCCCTTATCAACAGACTCTAAAAGAGCACCATTTTAAGTAGAAGTTCAGGTTCAAGATGCTGTTAAAGTAAATTTTGGAAATGATTATCCCAGATTATCCTGTTACTATTTAGTGGTACACATTTCTAGATACTGTGAGGTACATCACACATCTATACTCATTGACACTTGACATTTGAACAATTTTCATACAACCATTTTGATAAAAATTGCTTCAAACAATACATAAAGCTGTAACACGGCACTAATCCTTTCTAGGAGCTTTAGCTAATTATTGCATAGTGCTTATGAAAGGAACACGTAAGGCAAGAAAGTACTCTTGTGGATGATTAGGCAACAAAGCAGTAGTGCAGTTTTGGTAAATACTAAAATAATTCATTTGAAAGCCTAGTTCGCTGTCCTCTGGCGTATTATCCCTCTATCTGCAAAAAATAATTGCACTAAGTATTGTGTTAAAAATAGCTCTCTTCCCCACCCCCTGCTTCTCCATGCTGCTTTCAACCTGAATTGCTGCCTCCTCATAGACTGGACTGATGTCACTCTGACATCAGTGACTGCAGTGTAAATGACCTTACACCCAGCAGCTTAACACAGCAAATTAGACCTCAAATCTCACGTATAAAACTGTATGTTCTGAAAATGACCAAGGCATTACAACAGCAGTCATTTTCTCATGATGCAGTCTCTGATCTCTGTTGATCTGAGCAAATGACTTTTGACTTCATTAGAATTGCTCTGCTATATCTTCATGCAAGCAAGAGAAAACTTTAGTTCTTTAGCACTGCAATCATTTTGAGTCCTCTTGTTAGAATATGACTCCACATCACAAAAGCAAATATAGAGTTAGCAACTTTTGCATGATTCTTCTATTCTCAAACACCAAGGATTTGGAAAGAGTTGGCATTAAATTTTCAGCGAGTTGTTTTCTCTAGTTTGGCTTTGCAGCATATTGGTAAGAAAATATGAAGATGCTGCTTCATAGGACTTGTGTTCTGGGTGAAGGGGCCAAAATATGAGTACGTGAGCAGTGCATTGACAAATAGAGAGGCTTGGTTTTTGTATAATAGTTGCATTTTGAAGGTTATTAAACATAAGGTGTTCTTGAATGCAGATACACCTTACAGAAGTCAGCATGTTCTATGTACATGAATGAATAATATTTGGTCAGGCAATCCTGTCTCTATTGGATGATGGTGACAGGTATGCTTACCACCCTGGGATTTTAAACACTTCAGAGCCATACACTACACTGTTCACTAACAGTTAACTTTGCTGAAAAATGCTGTGCCACGGGTATTTGTATTTGCAGCCTGAAGTGCTACTTGTACCTAGTATTTTGCAGGCACTAGTTGGTGTGTAATCTCAGTCAGCAGTAGCCTGCGTTTCTATATGTCACATTCTACTTCTTCCAGGATTTGAAGCTGTTCTAGCTGTGAAGGACCATTAGAAGCACAAATCTATCAGAAGAACAGCTGATCTGTACTCCACAATAAAAAAAAAATGGTATTATTTCACTTATTTTGCTCACTTCAATTTAAAAGAAAAATAACAAACCCAAACCAAACAAAAAAATCCAACCAAACAAAGCAAAAAAAAAATCCCCAAACCAAAACAAACCTCACACCACGAAAAACCCTCCACAAACCAACAAAAAAACCACTGTGAGAGAAAGAGAGGCGTTTTTAGTTCCTCAGTATATAGGGGGCACACAAGTAAGTAGGTTAAAGATCTTTCTCAGAAAACCTTAACTGCAGATTCCTTCTGTTGAGTACTGTTGTTCTGTTCTACCTGTGATAGAGGTGAGCTGACTGTCTTCAGACTTTTAATTTAATTGCAAACTTGTTGTTGTGGCAGCATATTTTTGTTTGTTTTTTTCAGATGAAGGTTCTGGCAAACACCTCTATCGAAGTAAGTTCACTTTCCTCCTCCTGTGAAATTAATTAAAAATCAGCAGGTACTAAAATGAAATAATTAGAAACTTCGCATTATTCTAATGCTACTGCCAACCTTGAGACTTCTGCATAATTTGTTATAGGGTGCTATAGGTTGGTGTAATTTAAGTAGTAGTAGTTTCACTGGAATTATTAGAGACAAATTTAGAGACAATCAGAGACAAATTAGAGACAATTAGAGACAAATTAGAGACAATCCTAAAAATGATTCAGTTATATACGTGTAAACACTTTTATTGCTGCCTGTTACAGGAAACTTCAATTTCTTTATGCTGGATCTTTCCCTGACAGGCAACTTCTAATAATTTGGTGCAATAAACACATTTTTTACTACTTTTGCTGTTATATTGTCAAATATATAAATATAATATATATAATATGTATAATATATACATGTTATATATATATTTATATGTCTATGAATAATGCAAAAGGAAAGGATAAATTGGGGGTATGTTTTAGTAATTCTTCTGGCATATAAAAATTGCATGTTATGTGTTGAAACCTGATTTTTTCAGCTACCTTTTTATACTCCCAGTTAGCAATTAGAATATTTATCTTCTACAGAGAGGAGAATCTTAGAAAAGAAAATCTGTCTAGGCCAACATTTTCCCCCTCTTGGAGTATTCATTTCTTCTCTAGCTTTCTTCTTTCACTCAAAGTTCACATTCAGATGCTGTATGGAAAATATGAATGTGTACATCATATGGTTTTATTTGTATATGTATTAGACATAAGTTGATGTATGTAGCCTTTGTATAGATACTCTAAAAAAACCTTCATATGAACAGGCATTCTTGTTTACTCTTCAATCCCATAGTGGGTTTAATACTTCTTAGGTTGTCATTTCTGTCAGGTTTTCTTTCCTTTTTAGTGAAATATCTTGATAATCATGTCTCTAAGCTAGTGGACGCTACAGTACAATGGCTAGGATGCTTCACTGGAAAAGAAAGATCAAGCTCAATTTTACTTGACTGGTTTTCAATGTTTATTTAACTGCAAGCTGGCCTTTCCCTTGATGAATTACATAGACTTGTTCCTATTTGGAGTAAAATCAGACAGAACGGAAGGTGCAAGTTATTCCAACATCTGTTACCCTTTCACTGTTAATTATTTAGGAGAGTAACAGTCCTCAAACCAATGAAACGAGAGTTTTCCCTGAGAACATGCTAAGCATCGATGTACCTTTCCCTAGCAATGTGTGAGTGCCTACCAGCTAAGAGTTGACAAGTTCTGGTTTGACAGCGTGATTTTGTAGTCACAGATGCTGTGACAAGACAGGGAAGCTGAAGCCCATGGCCTTACCCTAATTGGTGACTCAGCATCATTAGCTACATGGAGAGAATAGTAAGGGAGAAACTGTTATCTAGAATTGTATAATAAAACTGGAGCTAAAATTATTCTGTAGATTGGTGGGAGGCAGAGACTCTGCCTCCCTGAAAAGTGTAAGTATATATTAAGGCCCTGAAAAGTGTAAGTATATAGAATAACTTAGTTTCAAATGTAATTAAGACACTACCTAAATTTTGTAAAATTTAGATGCTTAGTTGTGGAAAGTTAAATGTTTCTCATTTTTCGTGGATGTGAGAGGTTGAATCTCATTTATCTCTGTGTATGAAAATCTAAAATTAATTAATTGACTCAAGTGGCCATATCAGATTTTGAAAGGGGCAAAGGGTCCCTATCATACATTTCTACCATCAGTGAAAAATGATCCAGCTTTCTATATTCAGTTATTCTGTCCTGTGGAAAGAGCTCTGATCTCAGCTGAAGGAAAAACTCAGAAGTCTCAGTGTTATGTGTGAGCACCTAGTAAATACCCGGTGCATTTTTACCTCCAGGTAGGCATGGGATAAGAAGAAAAAGACAGGATTTCACAGGATGTTGAAGAGGTTACTTACAGCTCCTCTAGAAGAAAGCTTCAGTAGAGTAGAATTTGAGAGTAGGCCTTGAGGCAGAGGTTAGAGGAAAATGTTTGCGCTTTGAAACATTTAAAGAAACATGTCTGAAAAACGGTAGCTCAATCCTGGACATGTGAACATCGTTGTTTCAATATTTTGCTTAATTCCTCTGTTAGAATTAGTAAATTGTGTCCCAAGAGCATGTCCCCTGCCTGCCTGAATGATAACAGCTATTTTCACTCTGTCCTATGTCCTCAAAGTAGAATCTGACCTTCAGTGTGGGAAAACAGAATACTAGCCTTGAGCTAATATGCCTAAAATACATTTAAGTATGAAGATATTTCCCTTGAGTTGCCAAGCTAATGTCTAGCCTTTCCCACTCATTCTCCCTTAACTATTGTCAGACATCGGACTTTCTTCTAACTTCCAAGATTATATTCACAGGTTAACTGAGCTGTTTCTCCCAGCTAGGTGAGGAATACTTTGTGCTCAGCTGGGGTAAGTCCCCTCTCAAGGCATATATTGACTGACTTGGAAAGATTCAGTTACCAGGACTGCATATAATTTTTCAACAGAGAGGGGACTTTTGATTTGTACATAAGGACTAGTCATGCCTTCTCAGGTCACTGTCCTGTAATGTGACTTGTTCTGTTTAATAATTTCAAAGTAATATCATAGATACTTGGTTGTATCTCTAGGAAAGTATGTGAAATATATTTTTAGTATCAATATTTTAAGTTCTTTCATCAGGGCTTGTTTTATTGCCTAAAATTCAACTACAACACAGAAAGCAAAGGGACATCTGTCCCTTAGACTTTGTAAAAACTCAAATGGAAAGATTCTCCTTCCTGCTTGGTTTTGATTTTCCTTTTGCCTCTCTAGTATCTCAGTACATGTGATAGCCAGGAAAACCTTTGCAAGAGGCAGCTCTTTGACTGCATCATCACAAGCCAGCACTACAAAATAGTGGCTTAATTAGAAGTGTAAAATCAGCTTTTCCACATCAGTAAGTCATTGTTCTCTGGCCACTATTTTAAGGACAGCCAAAAGCCACAGTTGACAAAGTCTTCCATGAGAATTACCAAGCAATCCATAAGGTATCTGCAGGTCTGACATTTTCTACATGTTATTGTTGAAAATAGCAGAGTTGAAATCCTTGTAAGTGTATTACCACTTGTCCACAGGCCATTAGGAAGGAAAGAAGCTTTCTCCTGTCAACCAATTTTGCATTCAATAATGGAAATAAAAGTAGAAGTGTCATCAGCTGCCTTCAGCTCACTATGGGTTTAGTGTTGTGATTTTTGCTTCTGAACTCATTTTGTGGATATAAAGTGTATCTTTAGCAACATAGGTCCCTGTTCTAACTCTTTGTCAAGTATTTTCACTGGACCTAATTTTTAGATATTACAAGGGGTTATGGCTTACTTGAAGAACTGCAATAACAGTGTTGTTTAAATGCGTATCAAATGTTTCTTTGTCACTTTAATCTTGAAAAGAAAGATGTTTCAAGTCAGTATTATTTTATAAATGTTTTGAATTATTTTAAAGTAATAGTTAATTGTGCCATTGCACACATAGCAAATGGACTATATTCCATTTCAGTCTCACTGTCATTTAGGAAGGTCCATTACATTTTTGGAGAAAAAAAAACCACAAAAGAGTTATCTATTAATATTAAAAAAAAATCCAAACCAAACCCAAAACTCTGGCCAATGTGGTAGTGAATTTGAGTCTCTAAACTTAGAATTTGCAGGAGAAATCATTTTACATTAAGATCTGTATATAGAGGTATAGAGAAAATCCTTCTTTAGCTAGCTTTTTATTTTTATCAGGATACTGCTTGGATCACAGGGTGCGATTTCCTCCCTCAACTGAAATGTGTCGTGGCTGTAACTGAAAGGACAGTCATTATCTGGAACTATAAAAGTCAGGTATTATGTTGGGTCAGGCAAATGTTAAAGAGGAAGCCTGAAAAAGATTAGTCTATGTTTTGAACATAAATTCACTTTTTTTTGTTCTAACAGGATGAAGGCATTAACTTTTTTCTTTGTAGGAACTGCATGAAACAGTGGGATTTATACTTTGACCACATGGGATTATTACAGAGTCTTAAAAATTTGGAAGAAAGAGGAATATTCTGTACTATGTTGCAAACAAACACTCAAAGAAATTATTTTCTATGCATGACACCAAGCTGTGTGGTTCGGCTGATACGCTGGAGGGAAGGAATGCCATCCAGAGGGACCTTGACATGCTTGTGAGGTGGGCTGATGCCAGCCTCATGAAGTTTAACCATGACAAGTACAAGGTCCTACACCTGGGTTGGAGCAATCCCAGGCACAGCTACAGGTTGGGCCGAGAAGAGATTCAGAGCAGCCCTGTGGAGAAGGACTTGGGGGTGCTGGTTGATGAGAAAATGAACATGAGCTGGCTTCAGTGTGCACTCACAGCCCAGAAAGCCAACCGTATCCTGGACTGCATCAAAAGGAGTGTGACCAGCAGGTTGAAGGAGGTGATCCTGCCCCTCTACTCTGCTCTTGTGAGACCTCACTTGGAGTATTGTGTGCAGTTCTGGTGTCCTCAACATAAAAAGGACATGGAACTGTTGGAACAAGTCCAGAGGAGGGCCACGAGGATGATCAGGGGACTGGAACACCTCCCGTATGAAGACAGGCTGAGAAAGTTGGGGCTGTTCAGCCTGGAGAAGAGAGGGCTGTATGGAGACCTCATAGCAACCTTCCAGTATCTGAAGGGGGGGTATAGGGATGCTGGGGAGGGACACTTCATTAGGGACTGTAGTGATAGGACAAGGGGTAATGGGTTAAAACTTAAACAGGGGAAGTTTAGATTGGATATAAGGAATAAGTTCCTTGCTGTAAGGTGGCGAGGCACTGAAATATGTTGCCGAGGGAAGTTGTGAATGCCCAATCCCTGGCGGTGTTCAAGGCCAGGTTGGATAGAGCCCTGGATGACATGGTTTAGTGTGAGGTGTCCCTGCCCATGGCAGGGGGGTTGGAACTTGATGATCTTAAGGTCCTTTCCAACCCTAACTATTCTATGATTCTATAACTTATGCATATGTGGACACATGTATATCTAATGCATGTGCAACTGCATATGTATATCTCAGAATGTATTAGGAATCAAGGGCCAGGTTTACCAAGGAATTTAACATAGAGTCTTTTGATGTAACTTCCTGATTTAAAGAAAATATTTCCTCATATCCTGCATTTTGTTCAGGACTTTTGAAAAAGCAAAAGCATCTTGATATTGATAATGTATGTCCATACCACTAATGTTTTTTTGAGTGCCTTATTACGAAATAGAATTTTTATAAGGCTTTCTGACCCACACTTAGCATTTTCTTTCTGTTCGTTGGACTTTTCTAAGCAGTTCTGAGTTGTCTGAGAAGACAAGCAAAGTAAATATTTTTAGAATAAGCTCAAGTCTTAGGATTTTTTGTTATTGTTCACAATAATAAAAAGATGCTCACCATGCTCAGACAGGTGAATGGAAGCTTTTCTGTCAGTCAATTTGGAAGGCTCAAAAATCTATTCTCCACTCATTATTGTCCAGGTTTCCTCCAGTCATTACATCAGCAAGAGTTGAAAGTCTCCTGACTATGACTGAATAGGAGCAGTTCTCATTCAAGAAAGCAGAAATAACATATAGACAGTTCTGTATCTGTTATGTCTCCTTAATGTTTCTGCTACATGGACAACATTGAAGCAGTTAATATCTACGGCATGCGAACAGTTGTCAGTTTGGGTTAGCAAGGATGGTTTAATCAAATAACAGATGGAGTCAGGCAGTAGAACCAGTGAACAGCATAATGCAGATGACCCAAAATCCCATTTCCAGACCTTGTCAGTCTAGAAAAATGCCACAGTGGCTTGCAGCTGTATTCATTCCAACTATCTCAATTCCTGAAAATTGAAACACCTGCCCACATAAGTACACTTGGTTCTTCCAGGTTGTATTAATAATCAGGACTCAAATATAATTTCTTTTTCTGTGTTATTGCTGGATTTAGTAGTTTGAATAATTCTTTGCCTATTTCCTGTTTCCTTCTAGACAGCATCTTATTTTTGAACAGGAAACCATAGTCTTGGCAAATACACCATCCCACTTAGCATGGTGAGATCCTCCCTAAAATTTGTAATTATTTCCTCACTGAAACAGAAAAGGTAACCTATGAAATAGAGCCCCAATTAAATCTTTGAAATTTGCATTTAAGTTCACTTAGTGATGATCTTCTGTGGGTTTCTAATAGCAGGAAAAAGCTATCACAGGGGGAGCTTGAAAAAACAAAGTCAAGAATTGGATGGTGATGTGAGTAGATAAGCATGATGTTCAGTTAATTTAAGGGCTTGCATGCAATATCTAATCAATTACCTACCATATTTCACAGAATATTTGCTTTGTCATCAAATCAATGGAAAATTGCCTGCTCTGTGTTTGCACGGTGACTATGTCAAAGCAAGTGGCTAAGGATACTATCCTAATGGGAGATGATAAGGGTTATGTTTATTTGCTTACTGTGACCAGTGATCACTTGGCATTAAAAAAATGTAAAGCCAAAAGAGAATCACAGCTTCAGGTCTTGGACTCCAAAACTTTTCACATGTAAGTTGCTTATGATAAAATAGTATCAGTCTAGCAATTTTGGTTTTCTGTTTTGGTTTTCTCCTGCGTAAACGGAGGATTAGCTTTTCTGTATAAATTAACCCCACCTACAAAAAAGATAATTTTTCAAACTGCAGCAAGTATGATTTGCTTACTTGCACACTGTTGTGTATGATTTGCTTACTTGCACACTGTTGTGTGAAGGAACTGCCATCATTACCAGTAGGGGATCTTATAAGGGAACTTTCAGCTTCCATGGAAGAATTCACAATTGCTGTTACCCAGTTTGACATAAGCACAGCTTTATTGTGCCTTATTAGATGGAAGCATAATTGCAAATAGAGAAGTGCATATACAGTCCTAATTTTAGCTCTGCTTGCTTTTGGCTCTGTATCTGCCCTGTATATTAAATTTTAGCGTAGGTTATATATAATCTCAAAGTAAAATTCCCTTTCTCCCTATGGACATATTGCAGTTGATGCTAGTGTATTCCAATAACATCTCAATTTATATCCCTAGTGTTAAACGCAAGCTACATGACGACTGGGTTATGAAAGTTAAGTATATTTTTGACCTAAATTGTTTTGGGTCCTGCTCCTCAGACAGCATTTGTTCATTTGTTTTGGATGATGTAAAGCGACTAGAGGACAACTTGTAAGTATATGACATCTTCTGAAAAAAATAGACCTCTTGCTGTATAACTTTGCATGAGATCAGTGCCTTGCAAGGTGCCATCCTGTTGTATGGAAGTTATCTTTTCTATAAGTATTGTTAATACAAACAAAACTACAACTGCTTAAATGCATAACAATCTTGTTTGTTAGCTTTTGATGTAGGAGACAAGTATCCATATACGTTCATTACTCACAACCCTTAGAAATAAGTTGTGTTGGCAGTGTTTGCTCCAACTTCTCCTCAGCAGGCTAATTTTAGTTAGAATGATTGCTTTGTTACATGTATATCATATTACCCATTCATTAAAAATTTATATGAACACAAAGATATATTTAAATTTCATTTATGGTTTTAATTTCACAGTTTCATTTACATAAGCTTCAACCAACAAAACAATTTATTCTGAGGGCTGTGAAATTGATTTAGTATACAGGAAAGAGGTTGTGGCCTCCTTATTTGTGTTATATCCTTATTCATATGGCCATCAGTTCTACAGCTGATTCCAAGCCTTGCTAGTCTATGATTTTAAAATAGTTTATAGCCCAATTAGAAAATAGATAATACAAAGACAATTGGATGTAAAGAAGAACTTTAAATAACTTATAGATAGAACTGTTCATTCAGATATCTCAAAGCATTGTAAACATCAGATCAGTTTCACAATTCCTCTGTAAGGTACATGCAGAGAGAAATAGATTTTGAAGGCTAGTAAAAGCAATTATGATAATCCGGTTAATGTCTTGTATAATGTAGGCCATAAATATTCACATAATAATTCTTGCATCAATCTAATGATTTCAGTTTTTATGAGCATTGCATGTCTGTTGGGGTTAGGAAAGTGAAATATGAAATACAGCTTGTCCAAGGTCATATACTGTGTAAGGAGAAAAGCTGAGAAACCCCATTTGATTTTGTTAAGAGTTTTAGAATTAATTTGAAGAGAAAGAAAACAAAGACTGCAGAGCCAAAAGTATGGTCAAAAGAGTGTATGCTACCACCATACATTGTAATACAGAACATTAACTATGAATACCTTGGTAGGTCTTTTTCATTTAACATTGATGATAATTTTGTCTCCAACTGAATAAATACATTTCTCTAAGCAGTTTCATGCAACACCTCAATGAAATTATATTTAGACAACTGAAAAATTACACAGCTGTTAAAATGAAATTAATAGCTCTAAAAATAGGCATGGATGAAATTACTTTGAAATGCCAATTTCATACATAATTATACTTGAAATATATGACTTACTTGTGCCAACAAAATAAATTTCCCCAGTTAACATTGCAGCGAGCAATTGCTATTGTGCTTGAAGGGGATGCAATGATCTTATCTCCTATGTGACTGTCAAGTTTCTTTGTGGATAATGGCTGATAAGCAGTTATAATCTTTTCTTGTATCTAAAACAGGGGGTTGTTGGTGGGATCGTAAGGTGCTTCTGTTGGAAGGCCATGACTTGGGCAGGACTTCATGCTGCCAGAAGCCCTTATTCACACTGATGTTGGAAGAGTATCAAGACCATTCATTAAAGAGCCAATAGAGGGTCATATAAAAGTATTAAATTACAGAATTAAGGGAAAAAAGATAATAAATCCTGATGAAATCTGCCACACATTTATATCAATTAGTTGCTATTTTATATCATTAAGAGAATTGGGACTCCTCTGTTAGGGGTCTGCAAAGAAAGCTTTGCTTCTTCTATGTAATAAGTAATATGTAATAACAGCCTTTTATTTACACCTGCCTAGAAAGAACAAGCTCTTTCATTAATCTTCAAAGTTTCCAGAGTCTTTTGTTAAAATTACTGTTATCAGTAATTTTTTCAATATTTGTGGTTACAGTTTAGCCTGGAATAAATGAACTACCTACTTGTCTGGATTTCAAGGAAAAAATTTAAATGTGGACCCATTTAATTCTGTACAGCCTATTTACATTGACAGTCACTGTTTCCTGGGAGAGACTGGTGTTAGTCATGCTATTGCTCAAAGATCAATAAAATATTCACTTATTAGTAGGAATGTATGCAACATGGGGAGGCAAGCAGAAGTTGCTCAAAGGATGGGTTTGGAAGGGACACTGAGATAATCCCAGTCTGCGTTGGCTGTTTGAATTCCTGTGCTTTGTTGGTGAATACAACAGAATAATTCAGATGAGTTCCAGAAGCTTGTGGTCTCTTCATGTTGTTATACAACACAAAATAGATAAAGTAGAGGCTATGAATTATACAAGTATACATAAGCAGCAGAAAAGTAACTGCACTTCATGCAAAATAGAGGCTATGATACACCTCCATGTATAAAATGGGCAAAGGCAGTTGCTTTGATACTTTCCTCAGTAGTAAACTGCTTTAAGCATGGAGATGTGTGTGAGGGCTTACTTTGGCAACAGCTACCATTTTAGTATACTGTTTGGAGTATGACTGATAAAGGATAAAGATGTTCAAATCAGAGATTTATTATTTTAATGGAAAGTGCAGTATACTCCTATTTTATTAATGCTAGTATCACTGTAAGGCTATATAAGTCACTGTTATAAATCAATTTGCTTTTAACAAGAGACTGTATAGATTATGCAAACAGCTATTTATGTACTATAGAAAAATAAGGTGGAATGACTGTAGACTGTATTTTCCTAATGTTTCTTACCTGTAATAATTAATATTTTTTTCTTTTATTAATTATTACAGACCTGTAAAGGAATTTTCTGTCCCTAAAGGACATGCCTTCACATACTGTAGAAAAGCAAAACTCATTGTCACTGGTGGTAAGTATTGGATTTTTTTCCCCAAGAGATTGTACTGCTGTGATTTTTTTTCCCCAGTTAAATAAGATCAAGTAAAGCTGAGTTAGGATCTTAAAACTTTAAATAATTCTTAAGATAGTATCTTAAATCCTAGGAAATAGATGTCTTGCTTTTAATTGCTGGGAGTCTTACTCTGAAAAGATATACTTCCTGACAGTAATCTATCATGGCCCCAGTCTGGTTTGGAATCAAGTAGCATAGAATCATAGAATGGCTTGGGTTGGAAAGGACCTTAAGATCATCTAGTTCCAACCCCCCTGCCATGGGCAGGGATGCCTCACCCTAGACCATGTCATCCAAGGCTCTGTCCAGCCTGGCCTTGAACACTGCCAGGGATGGAGCATTTACTACTTCTTTGGACAACCTGTTCCAGTGCTTCTCCACCCTCACAGTAAAGAACTTTCTTATATCTAGCTTGAGCTTCCCCTGTTTAAGTTTTAACTTATTACCCTTTGTCCTACCACTACAATCCCTGATGAAGAGTCACTCTCCAGCATCCTTGTAGATCCCCTTCAGATATTGGATGGTGGCTATGTGGTTTCTACACAGCATTATCTTCTCATATAATAAAACAGGAGAAACAATATGTTGAACTATAAGGCATCTTTCCAAGTCACAGTAGTTGTCTTGTCCAGGTTATACACATTATTCCTTGCATTATTAGCAGGGCTCCCATCCTTTCCTATTACTTTTTGGCCATCCTTTCCTGTGTTAAGCAATCAGACCTTATAAAACAGAATGTGGTTAGCATTTCCTAAAGGTAAAACTGGAGGATTTTACTGTAGTAATAAAACCAGCATGAAGTTTCTGAATAGTACAGGTCAATTACACAAGAACTAATAAAAGTTTGTTACACACTGAAAATTCTTACAGAAATAGCAGAGGAAGAGGAAAATCTGCATAAACTTCCTTCATAAGACTAGCTATGGTATGCCAGACCAAAGATCAGCCTAACCCACTATCCCCTCATTGACAGTAACCAGCAAAAAAAGCTTATGGCAGAGTACAGGAATAGGGCAGTCATGCATCAATACTTGTGTTAGTTGAAGTATCTGTCCTACAGGTAACAAAGCATTAACTTCTCTGAATCTCACTAGTAAAACCTCACGTTTTACTGGAATTCACTGTACGGTTGATATGAGCCATGTCTGAAAAAGATCAGTTGAATGTGAAAAAGGTTGGGGAAAACCTATCACACAGAGACTGAAGAGTGCATTTTTTGTAACCTAGCAAAATAGTAATTAACAAGGAATATCACTGTTATATTTAAAAATATATGGAGGATAAATATTAGACCACAAATTAGAGCAGACATATTTGAGAAGTGTTTTCTGAATAGCAGCAGTTGCAGAAAGAAATACCCTCATCAGCTTAAGATTTTTGAAAGTATAGAGGCTGGAGGCTAGACTTGAAATGCAGGACCTCCTGTCCCATCTAAACAGCTACCTAATCAGTATATTGTAGAAGCAGATGAGCTTTCTCAATACTGCATTTTAATTTGTCTTGACTTTCACTACACAAAGTACAGAAAGCACGAGTAACATGACAAAAGCTTAATAATATGGTGTTCAAGGACTCTGTAATGAAGATTTTGAAGAAGTATAAGAATTGTACTTACTTGTAACAATATTTCAGTCTATTTCTGGACCATAACATTTACATATCCTTGAGTTGGAATCCTGTATTGCTTGTTCATTCATTGACCTTCACTTTGATATTAAATGGCATTCTCCTGCCTCTCACCATTATTCCCAGAGCTTAGCTCTGTTGCTTCCTTTAAGCACAAAATTAAATTATTCCTGAGCTAAATTATTAAGAATCACAGGAGACAGTGGGAATGCATGGCCAAAGACAGACAGGAAAGGATCATCTCTTTCAAATTTCACTGCAAAGTTTAGATCAACCAAGGGCTACTATGAAGCTGCACCCAGAATTAAGAATAATGTTACAGTGCTTGAGAGATCCATCTACTAAAAGCTGAGCTTTAGAGTTCAGTGCTATATTAATAAAATACACTGCTCATGATGGTGCAACAGTCTGACTAGAGCACACTGTGTTTCTGCATCTCCGTATCTGTTGTCTAGCTGAGAAACATGTGTTGATGATCCAGTTAAAAAAATCAACGACCAAAGCAGGTGAATAATTCAGGTATCATAATATACAGATTTCCTGGTGACATATGCAAGCATTTGCAGAAGCTATGTTCATATGTCACATCCATCAATTAAAAGAAAAAAATCCAACCTTTGATTGCAGGCCAGCTTCTAAAGTATTCAGTGGAGATAAATCTGCTAACCATTTTACTAACCCCCAAACTGGTGTTATTTAGCCAAGTATTCATACCGCAAATAGTACTCAAAACACTACAATGTATTATTACAATGTGAAGTGACTATTACAAAAGTCATGTTTTAAAACCCTTACTCTTTCATCATTTATTTAGATGTATTTGAATAAATTAATGAGTTTGTCAGTTCTGTGACTCAACCTAATTTTTTCTTCCTGATATTTGACATTTATAATAATGAATAAGAAAGGTAAAACCAAACTTGCTACAGCGTTCACTTTTTATGCTAAAAGCTAGACTTCATCCAGTAATGTGTTAAAAGCCTGATAGTGGCCTAAAATACGCAGCCCACAGTAATTTAGAGTAACTTTTCTGTGTAGCATTTTGCATTAATATTGTGTTGAAGGGTAAAGTGATCTTGTTTTCTTCTTATTCTGTATCCATTTCAATTCCAATCATGTCTTATCAGCTCAGGGAACAGCTACAGTTAAAACCAAATTATGTGTACATATAAAAGCTGGAGGTGATCAGTTTTAAATGATATGACACAGCAACTTCTAACACTATTAGTTCCTCAAATCCAGGTATGGTTCTCCTGTGAACAACAAAGTAGAAGAAAAACAATTAGTAATTTCTAAATATAGCAGTAGCAGCTTAAGACTGATACAAGGAAGTCCTCTGTACTTGCTTAGAATCCTTTGTGTATTCCTGGCACAAGTGAAGTAACTCGTAACGTATCTTTCTTTCACTAGCACTGTACATTGGGATTGACATTTTCAGGAATTTCTCAAGAATCCTAGTTACAGAAATCACATTCCAGGACTAGTATGAGCCCTCAGAAGCATTGCAGACTCTTTTCTGTGATGCATTCTAAATTTAAGAATATATGACTGCAGAAAGAGACATTGGTCAATATGATAAACGGATGAACTTGTGTTAATTTACCAGTTATCTAACTGTTCTGATGAGGTTTTGTAAATATTATAACCCAAGATTATTTTGAAGTCGGGCTTGAAGGTATGACAAGCTGTTTTAAAGAATAAGGGGTATGTCTGTGTGAGAAAAGCAGTATAGAAAGAAAACAAGAGTCATATTTTTCATTTCGATTTTATCAGAGGTTGCTAAGCTAGGGCTAGCATTTGTCATTCAAAAATGCTATTGTTCTCAAGGGGGCTTCAACACCATTGAGACACAGACATCTCAGCAGAACAGTGTAAGCAAGGAAAATGATTTGACAAAGCATCACATGTTCAAAGTAGGTACTGGAATCCATAACATCCAGTTAGAATAGAGCTGTGGTCAGAGAATCTGAGTTTAAAAAAAAACAAAACACCAGCAAACAAATAAGAAAGAAACAAACCAACAAAAGCCTTACACACACAAAAAGAATACCAAAACCAAACAAATCCATAACAAAATACAACCAAGCCTAAAAAAAACCAAACAACCCCCCAAAACAACCAACCAACAAAAAAAAAAAAAAACAACAGACCCTATATATTTTCATAATTATTTAGGTGGGATGAGAGAACACGGAACTGAACCCATTATGATTTAAATCATTGATTTCACAGAATCTTAAATATCTGCTAACAGATATGTAGAAAGATAATTCATCTTCTTCAAGCTTTTTTTGAGTTTGGTTAGTACCCATGTCTTCTGTGACAGGATTCTGACTCCTGGAGGCATATTTGGAGCACAGACAGAATAAATGTTCCAGCAAATGTTCCAGTGAAGCAGTGAGGCAGCAAATGTTCAGGCCAATCTGGCATTAGTCCAGAAAAAGGGGAGAGAACACATCTACTAAAACCAAATCCACATCAGTAAAGGGGTCTAAAACTGGTCCACTATATAACATGAGAAGCAAACAGCATTATTAATGTAGGAAAATGTTTTCTTTCCTGATCTTGCTTGTTATTCCTATTAATATAAGTGAATAACATGTACTAGTGATTCTATCCTTAAAAGAAATTATGTGCCTCGGTTAAAGGGCAGTATCCCCCTTTCATTCATCTGCTGTCATCTCAGGAATATAAAGAACAGAGCAATTAGGAAGACTACAAGAGATACTGTTCCTCAGAGTGCATCAGGTAGGTAGCTGAGTTGGTCAGATACTGTCAACAGCTCCTTCCTAGTTCACCACAGTTTTAAGACATGACAGTTTTCATTTGGGGCTGCTAAAGGGCATATTGTCTGAAGCAGTGTTTGTTCCCTCTGACATTGTAACTCATCAATCTCACTGGAGGCTTCTGTCTACCATTTTTTGTGCTCTCCTGTTGACCCCATAGAAGGTTTGCAAGCTGAGTTTTACTTCCGTGGCCTTGTTTCTCAGTAATGTGTACTAACTGGATCACACAGGTTCTGCTAACTTGCAGGACATGTCTATGAAAGCCTAACACAGCATATGAGGAAGTGAGCAGGAGCCCATCATGTTCTGTGGCTCCCCATCCAAAAGGACTTCACTAGTGCAGTTATAGCCTTTTAAGTTACCTCCTGTAATGCTTACTGCACAGACAGCTAATGTAGACTAGTTCTGTCTGAAAGTTGCCCTGAAAAGAAACTGATTCCCACTGAAGTTACTGCTGGTCAGCTTACCCATGGCTCACTTATCCATGGCTCCTCTTTCCTGTGCAGAAATTATCCCTCCATTATGCCAGTGCAGCTGTTTGCATGGTTGG